GGGGAGAGATGCTCCAACGCAGACAGGCCGGGAACCAGTGCTGTCATTGGCCAGTCTAGGTTGGTCCTCCAGGGCTGCTGTCTGTGGTAGATGGGACCTCAGGACCTCAGTTTCCCTTTTAAACTCAGAAAATATTCTGATGTCCTCAGAAACTTGATGGCTTACAGGTCAAGTATACTGTGGCCAACAGCGCAGTCTACAAAGTCAGCCGAGACCAAGAGCATGGGCTCGGAGTCAAGCCCTGGCTTTGTCGCTTGCTAGCTGTGCGACCCGGGGCAGGTAACTGTGCCTCTGTGAGCCTTGGTCTCCTTATCAGGAAAAGAGGGTGCCGTGAAGAACAAACCAATATCCTGATGTAAAGACCTTCGCACGAGGCCAGGCCCACCTGGAGTGCTCTGCAGAGGTTGAGCATAATGATTACACAACTCAGGCCATTTGTGGCAACACGGATGGACCTTGAGGGCGTGATGCTAACGGAAATAGATCAGATGAAGAAAGGCAAGCACTGTATAATTTCACATACATGTGAAATCTAAAAAGGAAAACAAACAGAAACAAACAATACAGAGAACGGATTGGTGGTTACCAAACAGGGAACGGGGGTGGGGGCAGGGAGAAATGGACAAAGAAATCAACTGTCTGGTGATAGACGGCAACTAGACTGACAGTGGTGAACACTGTCAGTGTATATGAATATCGATCCGTAATTTCGTACACCTGATATGTATATATAATCTTCTATACCAATTATACCACAAAAAAATTCCCCCAAACCAACCTCGGGCTTGTCACAGAAGGAGGCCTCCTCCCTGCAATGAAGCTGATTCTCTAGGGTTAAAACTGACTTCTGTGCCTCCAGCCACACTCTCTTGCCTGCTTTCTCTTGAACTCACTGTGTGATTTGTAGGTAGAACCAGGACAGTGCTGTGTGACCCCGGGCGAGTTGCTTCACCTCTCTGAGCTTCAGTTCCGTCGTCTATAAAAGGGGGGCTACAACAGCATGTCCTACTTAGGGAGCCGAATTCATGCAAGAAGGTAATCTGTAAGTAACCGAGTGCCCTATGAGTGGGGAAGTTATCAGAGCACAGGGCCAGGCTGACCGGCTGGTCCAGATGGACGCTGGACCAGGGACCTTGGCCTCTTTAGAACCCTCCTTCAGGGCAGCAAGCTGACAACCTGGATATCCTCTGATATGCAGCATTTTAAAGTGACCGCTCCCAAGTGCAGAAGGCCCCGGATGCCCCCGGATTGCTCTTCCTTACACTCCCTCACATGTGCCACCGCCCGCCAGGGCCACCTCCCCGCAGGGGTGAAGAGATGAGGCTGTGTCTAAACGAAACATCGCTTTCCCTCCGCCCCCACCCCGATAAAGGCCAGTTTCCCCCCAAACAACAGGATCAGGGATGCCCCAGGGAAGGAAGGGACTAGATGGAGAAGGAGCATAAGTCGGCGTTTAAGAGGAACGAGGGAGGGGAGGGAACGAGGCCAAGAGAGCAGAAGGTCAGGGGCACTGCTGAGAACCAGCGATGGCACCAGCCTCTGTTTGGACCCCAGACGCCACAGGCTGGTGAGTGTGACCTGGATGTGAGGCTCTGCATCACTGTCTCCTGTTTGTTCATCCAGCATCCAAGATGCCAGTTCCGACCCCCACCCCCAAAAGTAGCCTGGGTGGAGAGGCCTCTGGGAGGATGAGTAATTTCTAAGCAACCATGTGCTCTGAGGGGCCTGAAATATCCCCAGCCCGACAGCCCCGAGAGTAACCCCCAAAGACAATCTGTCTCTGGGCTCCCCCTTCCTGACTCAGGACACTGATTCTTAACAAGGCACTTATTTCAGCCCCTAGGAGGCGGTCTGGCAATTAGTGGGGGCACTTTGGGTTGTTACGATGACGTGGAGAGTGCTCCCAGCATCATGGCAGGAGGGAGGTGGCATCTGGGGTGCTGGACATCTTGCAATGCCAGGGACAAACCCACACAAGGAGGAAGGCTCCTGTCACACAACTTTTGGACATCCCCACAGATAAAACACGAAACCAAACACATGCTTAAATTCCTGAGCCACGATCCCAGTCCGGTCTTACACATAAATAAGGCCTTAACATATACTTAATTTTCCATGCGTGCCACTATTGCAACTAAATCGAAGAAAGACGAGACGTTGTTTTACCAGGAGCCGTCCGCCATTTCGGAACAATCACGTCACCAAGGCGACGCTGCTGGTGGCATCCGAGTTGCCGGAACAACACACCTGTGTCAATCTGCATTTGACGCGGTCGCGTTTGCCGCAAAATTCTATCTTTGGGCGCAAACACCTGACCGTTCTGAAGGAGTCGTGCCTGTGCGCTGATATATTAAATGATAGGTTCTTTAATCATGAGTTACTTTTATGCTCTGTCTTCTTTATTTTATAGTTAGGGCATTATATTGATTTTAACCATGTGACGTGTGGGTAGGTTATATGAGCCATGCGTTATTAGCTTCTGGCATTTTGCATTTCAAAATATTTGTTAAAGAAATGGAAGGGCTTTGAGTCCAGCAAGGGCATGAGCGAGCACTGAGCTTAGGGAACATGCACTATCTGTCATTCAACAGTCCTGATCCTCAGAACCAGTGACCTTAATGGGTTTCATGGAGCCCTGCGTCACTTTCTCCCAAATCTTACCTCCTCCGAAATAAGTCTTTTTTCGGCTGCTTTTGGTCAAACAATCGCACTACGTGCAAAGTTAACACAGGATACCTGAGTGGGGGGTGGGGGGCAGGGCGTGATGGATGAGGGGAGGCTGAGAGCTCGGGTACAGCCTTCCAAACTGGAAGGTCAGACTGCACATCAGCTGGGTGCACCCCTCCCTCACCTTCCAGGAGACAAAAACTCCTTCCCTAATGGAGTTTGGAGGGGCTGCTAGGGCCTGGCTGAGGACGAGGGTCCCGTGAAAAGTCCCTCATATGGGACGCCTCACCCAAGCCTGGTGTCTTGAGCCAGACTTCGGCGGGGTCCCCACTTTGGCTGGTGGAGGGGGTCGCACTGGCTGCTTGGAGAGAGAGCCCAGCTCCCAATCGTGGGATGGACTTCTCCATGTCGCCCGTGGAGATTCAGATTCCTGGGGCTGACATAGAGCTCCTGGGGATGCTGATGCTCACGAACCCCGCTCCACACCATGCCCAGCTGAGAATCATTAGGTACAGTCGGGGTTCGGCTGCCACGCAAGGTGAGACAGCCCCACCCAGGGTCTCGCTGCTGCTGGAGGGGGAGGCGGTGTGGAGGATTTGGGAGAATGTATGGGGTTGGGAGGAGTGTGTTGGGGGACTGGGGATCACAGGGCAGCAAGTGGCCCTTGTTTCGCCTTTGCTCAGGGGCTTCTGATGAAGCCTCATCTTCCTCCTTGGAGGTGGGGGGCGGGGGGCTCCAGGGTCTTGCTGGAATCGGCTCAGTTTCCGCCTGAGCGTGGGAAGCTGGGGAAGCCCAGGATGCCATCGTGGCCTGAGGCGGGCTGCCGCAGACCGGGGTGCCCGCCAAAAGCCAGTTTGGGGGCTTCGCCATCAGGAAGGAGGGAGGACTGGGTCCCTTGCAGTCCCCTAAACATGCAGGCACATTCACACCTCAGGACCCTGGCACCTGCCGCTCCCTCTGCCTGGAATGCACCTCCTCCCTGTAAAGCTGCAAGGTTCCCTCTCCAGTGAGACCTTCCCAGAGTCCCTATCTATAATTCCCTCAGCCCAACACTCCTAACCCTTCCCCCTCCATTTATAACCTTAGCAGGGATCACTACGTGGAATGCATACTTTCTATCTCTATCTTGAGTATTCTTCATTCGTCGTCTTCTCTACCATACTCTAAGGTCCCCAAGGTCAGGGGGCTGGTCTATGTTATTCACTCACAAGGTCAGGGGGGTTGGTCTGTTCCATGCATCATTCCAGCCCTGGTGCCCAGAACAGTGTCTGGCACACAGCAGGTCCTCAATGAATATTTGTTAAATAAATCAATAGAGGTACCTAAAGAGCTACTTTAATCCAGGCCCTCGAGGGACTTCTTGGCAACCTCTAAACACTCTTGGGACACACAGGGGTCCTTGGGGCGGGGGCTGGGAAGTTTCCTGGATTTTTTGTGGGGGGCCTCAGACCTGAGCCTCCTTCCTTAGGGGAACTAAGAAGAGTCTGCCTAGATCACCCTGGCAGCATCGGGGGCCGGAGGTCAGTGCTGGACCGAAGGTAGGAGGGGCAGCGGGCAGAGGGAAACTTCTCTCCCATCTCCAGGCCCGCTATTCTTCGATCACTTGGCCCAGCTGCCAGCTCCTCCCCAGAGAAGGAGCTCGAATCACCCGCTGTGTTGCCAGCTTTCCTCCCCATAGAATCAGAGAATGCCGACCTGGCAAATGCAGAGGGGCTGGCACTAAGTTCTTCAAGTTCTAGCCTCTGCTCCCACACAATCTGAGCGACACGGCTGTTGTAGGGAGTCGGGGCCAATTCTCTACCTTGATTCCATTCCTCTCTTTTAGAACTGTCTTTGCCCTCGACTGGCTGTCACAAGGAGGGAACAGGTTTAGGCTGAGGGCTGCCCCGCGCTCAGCTTTTCCTCTCTCTTTCCAGGGCCTTGACACTCACTCCACACCTGAGTCTACCGTGCACTCGCTGGGTGACCTTGGGAAAGGCCCCTCCTCTTTGAGCCTCAGTCTTCTGCCCTGTGAAATGTGGAGGGCAAAAATGCCCACCTTGTGGGGTTGCTGGAGGATTACATGGGATAAAGATCAGAAGACATGATGCCGGCTACCACAGTTAACAGCTAGGGGATTCGTGGCCAGAGATAGATCCTAAAAGTTATGCCCATCTTCCTCTTGCAATTGCAATTTTAAGAGAAAGAGGCAAGGGTAGGTGAGTGGATGTGCCAGTGCAGATGCCTAGGAGAGCTCAGCCTGGCGTCTGGGCTGCAAGGCTGAGGTGCGGGACATGCTCACATGCAACACACACACACACACACACATGTGCGTGCGCACCTGAGGAGCTTACCTGTCCACCTGGACCTCTGCGTCTTTTGTCTCCACCTTGGCAGGTGCACCTCCATTGATCCCTCTGCCACCACTGGTGAGAAGGTTCAGCACAGGCTCTATCTCTTTGAGCAGTTCATTGTGTTCCCCACTGCCCTGGAGGGTGACCCCGGCACTTTTCTTGGCAGGGAACTGGCTTGGGGGCCTGGGAGCCAGACCGTTGGTGTGGGACAGCAAGCCCGCTTCCTGCCCATTGTCGTGTGCATACTGCAGCCCGTTACCTGGACCTGGGGCCCTGTCCACTGCCAGTGGCTGCTCTTTGTACGCCGACGACTGGTGTGACAGATCAACAGCTGTGGTGGAAGGACCCAGGGGCTGCGTCACTCGGATGGTCTTGGGGGTCCCGTCCCCAGTAAAGGTGGTCTCTAGGTGCGTGGTGAAGCCCTCGGGGCCCCTCAGAATGAGGACCACGTGGGTCTCGGAGGCGATGCCCCTGAGCACCTCCAGGGCGCTGTCATAAGCCAGGTCCACCAAAGGCTGCCCATTGACCGCGAGGATGATGTCTCCCGCCTGGATGAGGCCACTCTGCTCCGCGGCACCCCCTCGAATCAGGTCGGAAATGATCACGGGGGGCTTGCTCACCCGCTCCTTCACCAGGAACCCCAGGCCCCCCACTTTGCGCTTGAAAAGGCGGACAGAAATCACGTTGGGCTGGATTTGCTGAACGCTGAACGTGTGATTCTCCATGGTGTCTGGTGTCCAAGGCTCTGAAGACCTCAGAATGTGTCGAGCCAAAACGACTCCGCCAGGCCTCGGGCTGTGCCAAGAAGGAGCTGGGCGGCTGGTGCTGCAGGGGCGATGGGGCTTGGTCTTGTCTGTGCTTGACGTCAACTCGGTGTCACCCACTCATTGCTGTTTGGCCGTCGGTGGCATGATGTCATGCGTCTGCTTCCTTTCCCGTTCCCTGAAAAAGCGGTGGTTTGTCAGGCAGACGTCAGAAGAAGCGGTGAGACGTGTCCCTAGGCAACGGGTCAGGCGGACTGGGAGGAGAAGCGTCTGGTGGATGTGTCTGGAGGTGATGCATGAGCTTGTGGACTATTCTCTGGGCATCGCCAGCTTGTGAGATGCAGATTAGGTCTGGGGCTTCTCGAGCTGAGGAGAAGGAACAAGGGAGGGGATGAAGGCAATTAAAAATGAGAGACTGACGTGGGGTGCCCGACACCACCCCCAAAACTAAGATGGGAAACGCAGCCGACTGAGAAGTCTCGCCACCGGATGCTCTGGAGTTCCAAAGCCAACCTAGAGACAAAATCCTCCTTCCTTGAGGAGTCTGCCTTCACAGTTAGCTGCAGGTCGTCTGGCTTCATCTCCATGATCAAAGCCCCAGAGAAACCGCTGACAGTCTGCCCAGAAATCAGAAGGCGACAATGACAAGACCTCTTTTCTTTCTTTCCTACCGCAAGAAGTCACCCCTCCAACTTGTCACGGGGCCTTTGTCTCTCCGTGTTTTGCCAACATTTTCCATCCACACCTCGGGTCTTTGGGCTCTCCATTCTGGCCTCTCCCAAAGCCCCTGCAACAAACTCACAGGAAGGGGAATGATACCACCTTCCACGGAACTGCCTGCGAAAGGTGTCGATTTGTCTTTATGACCATTTTTCTAACTATCCACTTGTCCCATATTCAAGAGGACAGACTTGGCCACATTAAAAGTCAATGTGGGTATAATGCATACCAAAGGCATGGGTCCACACAAAACCTTGAAAGACATATGTACTCCACAGACTGAAACTCTAATGAAGAAACACTAGAAAGAGCGGACTGTGTATCCTCAGGTGATCATAAGCATGTAGCAGGTGCTCAATGAGTATTTGTTGAAAAAGAAAAATCCCAAAAGACTAAAACAAAGCGGACACTTACTGAGCATGGACACTCTTGCTTCTCTCTTCTTTGATCTGCACAGTAACCCTTCAATGCACGAGAAAACCAAAGCTTGGGAAGGGTGACTTGTCCAAGGTCATGGAGAGAATGATGGCAGAGAGGGTTTGAACTCAGGTTGGCCCCACTCTTGAGCCTCAGCTTATAAACGTGTACTCTAGTTTTTAAAAAATTTATATTCTAGTTACTTTTGCAACTTCCACGAGCTCCCCCAGGCTTGGGGAAATGAGGTGTGTTTGGGGTACCAATGGTCAACGGGGGACCCAGCCGGATGCTGAGGCCCAGGGGAGAGGTGTGCACCTGTGGCACAGTCACAGTAGGCAGTGCTGCGTGTCTTGTGTGTCTGGGTTGGAGCAGGTGATCTGTGGTTTCGGATGAAGGAGGGGCAGGTGGGCGCGGCAGAGAATCCCCCATCTCTTTCCTTATCCCCAGTCCCATCGCTACCCTAGCACCCCTTCTGCCGGCATCTTTGCCACACCTTAGCACGGTGAGGGATCTCCCATCTGCCATGACTAACGAAGTGGTACTCTCTCGTTTCCCTTTCAGTGGCTTCCTGGGGTCATCCCAGGGCTGAGGCAGCTGACAAGCTCCTGCTGTCTCCAAGAGCAGGGAAGGGGTGCAGACCCCCTCCATGAGAAGGAGGCACCACCTCCTGGATCCCTTGGTGGCGGGGTAGTTAGCAAGTTCAGCCTTTTGCAGCCTGCATTACGTAACGCCACCAATCCTGGGGTAGTTAGCAAGTTCAGCCTCCCCTTTTGCAGCCTGCATTACGTAACGCCACCAATCCCTCTGTGTGGGTGAGGGAATAATGACCCACCTAGGCCCAGCCCGGGCTGCCTTCTCCATCTGGTGTTGCTGTGTGTGTGTGTTTCTCTCTGTGTATTCATGCATCACCCTCATGCTGTGTCATTTCTCGGCTGTGCGTGTGAGCGTGTGCAGCCCATGTGTTGACCGACTGAGCGTCTTTCGGCGTCTAGCTGCTGGGGTTCTGGTTTGCGGAGAAAACCACCCAGAACCACGGTGTCCTTCCTCACAGGAGAGAAGTTCGGTCCACCCTGCCCCTTTGCTTCTTAAACTCTCCCTGGGCCTCATTTCTCCCCGGTATCAAAACCGAGATGTTCATTGTTTCGTTGGAGGCACAGACAGCTGTGACCTCCAGATCATTCTTGAGTGTCCAAGCTTGGCACCGGGCTATGGTCTTTAATTAAAGAAGGGACTTGAAGGTGAGTTCTTGGGAAAGTGAGGCTCCCAAGATCTCTTCTTCCACACGCTGGCTTGGGCTAGACCGCACCAAAAGACGGAGGCTGGATGGAGCTGGCTTAAAGAAAAAATAAAGTCATCGACAAACCTTCCTAGCCACTCTCAGCCTTGCCGCTCTTTCTCAGCTGCTTTCTAAATCCGAGAGGGCTGTTGGCTGGTGCTTGGGAGCTTGGGGTGCTATTTCTCAGAGGTTGGCCCTAGAAAGGCCGCTCGATCTATGAAAAGAATTGAAACAAGGCTGGGCTTGGGAGAGGCTGGGATAGGCAGTGTCTGGAGAGAGAGAGAGAGAGAGAGAGAGAGAGAGAGAGAGAGAAAGAGAGAGAAAATATGCAAGCCCTGGGTCTGAGTGAGTGGATTCTGAGCACTCACCATAGTCAATTCTAACCCTAATAACAACCCCACAATGCTAGGCCTCCCTCCTTTTCCTCCCCAGAGCACATTCGCCTTGGCTGCCATATTTTTATCCTTACCCTGACCAGTGTCAGGTTTGATTATCTCCATTTTACAGATGAATAAATGATGCTGCCGTAGGAAGACCTGCTTGTCCCAATATACAGATGGCTAGTGTCCAGCAGGGTCCTCACCTGGGCCAACCAGGATAGCTGGCCACCCTTTTATCACAGGGAAAAATGTTAAACTCCTTTCTGGCTCTGTGTTTCTGTTTTTGTTTTTTTTTTAATTTTTTTTATTTTTATTTTTATTTTCTCTGAACCTCAGTTTACTTATCTGTAAAATGAGGTCATTAAGTAATTACTACCTCCCTGGGTAACTAGTGAGATTAAATAGTGAATGCGGGGTGCCAGGCAATGTCACTGAGTGAAGGCTCGGGGAAAGAAATGGTTTCCTGTTATTGTGATATCATACGTAATGACTGGGGCTTCCTGGCTTATAATTCCGTACACTTTTTAGTCCGTCACAGTCTCGCCAAAGATACTTCATGTGCCCTCTAGAAGGGGACCCTTGGCTTGAAATCACCCTGAGGAATCTCACGCTAATCACGGTCCCAGGCATTGAACATAACCCAGCCTCGCCCTTTGGAGCTGCGATTTAAAAAAAAAAAAACAAAAAAAAACCACATGTGCATACACGCCAGAGTACATACCATGGAAACAATACTTGGCCCTGGGCCTCATTCGAGTAGTTCCATGGTTTCACTGTATTTATTTCAGTTACCTTGCTGCGAGGAAATTAGCGGCTGACTTTCAGGGACGACTGCCAGGGAGAAGGAGGGAGCCAAAATAGGCCAGCGTCTGCTACTCCTCTCTCGCTGCGTGACCTTGGGCGAGCCGTTGCCCATCCCGGGGCATGTTTCTACAACCAAAGGAATGGTAACAGCAGCGGTTTCGAGTCATTGAGAGTTTATCGTGTGCGAAGCAGGATGCTGAGCCCTCTGCACTCTGCACGGGTGTCGTAGGAAGTAAGAGCTGTTTTTATCCTCACCTGACAGACGGACATGGTGACTGAGGTTCAGAGTAGTAAGCCAGGGAGGCGGCCTGGGGTCTACGCGAGTGGGTTCTGAGTACTCACCAGGGTCGGTCCTAACCCTCATAATCCCACAAAATCACTCCTCCTTCCTTTCCTCGCCTCCAAAGCACGTTCTTATCTGCTGCCATATTTTTCATCCTTACTCAAAGTTCACGTTCAACTGTCCTCATTTTACAGATGCAGAAATTAAGCTGCGTTAGGAAGACCGACTTGTCCTGGTTTAGCCGGGGCTTTCCACCTTAAGCACTGAAGGTCAGAGGACATCCGAAATCAGCAACAGTTGGGGGTAGGGCGTCTAGAGCTGTACTTTCCAACTGGGCAGCCACTGGCCACATGTGGCCATTAAACTCCTGAGCTGTGGCTGGTTTCATTGAGATGTGCTGTATGAGTTTCTGGGTTTCAAAGACTGGTAGGAAAAAAAAAAATCTAAAATATCTCAATAATCTTCCAATATCGATTCCATGTAGAACAGAAGATAATGTTTTGTACATATTGGGTTAAGCACAATGATTATGAAAATTCATTTTACCTGTTGCTGTTTATGCTTTTGCACGTGACTGCTATACAGTTACAGATCCCACATGGGGCTCAAATTGTATTGCCACGGGATAGTGCAGGGCTAGGGTCTGACGTTAGAGTCAGCTCCTGGACCAGAGATCTTCTCTGTGTGCCCCTGTCCCTTAGGTCTCCTTGAGAATCTGACAACTTAACCGGGCGGAAGATTCCTGGTTCTCAGAAACTAGAAAAATGACACAGAAGTTTAGCCAGCATCTCACCACTTTTTGAGGTTGACCCCTGAGAAGAAGCCAGATGAGGGCAGCTTGGGGAGAGAAAACCCAACAAGAACCCTATGAAGAGACGGGTAACAGTAGGGTGTCACCTGGGCTGATAATTAGTCCAGTATCCAACATCTTGCCGCCTGAGTATCGTTCAAAATCTAACCCATCGTTGCAATGAATGTTTCGTTTAAAAAAAAAAAAGGCAGATAGGTAGCAAATGAGCTCCAAGATATACCATTGGTGGAAAAAGAAAGGTGCAAACACGTAAATTCTACACACATAAATGCAGAGAACCTTCTGGAAGGAACAAGTATCAATGGTCGTGTATTACGAGAAATACTGGAAGTCAGAAGTAGGAGGAAACACTGACTGACTACCTTTTTTTTCTATTTGAATATCATTTAAATTATTTTTATCACATGTATATTACCTTTTTAAATGAACAACATTCAAGAAAACAGCACCCAGCCTCTGAATGCCCAGGTGTTTTCAGTTCGTGCACCCACAAAATTTCTGATAGAGTGACAGCCCTGTTTCCCATCTCCCTCCAATGTCATTTAAAAACAAATCCAAGTCCTCCATGTCCAAAAAACAAACTATGGCCACCATCAACACAAACAAAAGACCAAAACTGTAACCCAACTGTTCTCTTTAAAAAAAAAAAAAAAAAACCAACAAAACCCAACGAAA